GCAAGGGACAGCCCCTTCCGCCTGCCGATGAATAGTCATGAGCCGGGAGGAAATGACAGAGCACAAGTGGGGGCCGCCATCTTCCATGAGGCTGCAGACACAGCCAGGGGCTCAAGTAACAGCCGCCTGCCGCACAGGCCGGTCAAAGCAAGCAACAGGGGCGCTCCTCCAGTGCCGCAGCACCCCTACTACAGGTCCCCCACATCCCTACACACAAGCCCCTCCCTAGGCCGCAAGGAGACCAGGGCCTAAAGTACTGGCCAAAGCAGCACATGGGAGAACTGCCCTACACCCAGACCCCCTGACCATCACAGGACCCATCCAGGGGAGAGAACCAGCAATTCAAAGACCCCATGCACCGCTCCAAGCCCAAAATACACACCACCATGGGAAAAGACTGCCCAGACCCCAGAGACCACCTCCACTCTTGAGGTGGGTGATGACCCCAGGGAACTCCACAGGAATGCAGAGCACAGCAGTCAAGGCATGCAGGAGGGCAGAAAAGTCACTGACCGCAGTCGAAGTGCCGCCAGCCTGTATGGAGTGCTGTGACTGGGAAGCTGAGACACCCCAGTCATATGCACACCATGGAGATGAACCCACAGGCTACTCTTTCAGAACAGAGTCATCGCAGCCGACCCACCCTGGAAGAGTCTGCATGTGCTCTTCGATCACACAGGGACGACTCCAAGGATCCAAAACCATCCAGCATGTCACCCTGTGAAGAGTTGCTTGAAGATCCAGCGAAAAAAAGGAGGAAAACGGAAAAGAATTCCAGAAAAAACATTCTTAGCACCTTACTCCTGACACTAGGCAAAACACTGGAGACTTGTCAGCAGATGGGGGGGTTGGGCAACCAGCAGAGGCCACCCCTAGGCTGTCTTTGTCTTTTGTTTTGTGCCTAGGGTCCTTCTCCTGCAAGTGGCGATATTACCCTACGGTACATGATCTACGGTCTGTTCCTGTGTCCTTCAATGAACGGAAGAGAAAATAGGTGAACATTAAGGGTTAGCAAGAGAGGGGGTGGTGATCAAATCATGTAGACGAGAGAATTACAGCTTAATATGACTCAATTTTTTAGACAAGTCAACAGTTCCAAATTCTACAAAAAAGGTCTTGAGTGTTTTTACCACTATGCGCCAATTCTTCAAAGCACATAACTTGGTAAACCATGCCTTCACAGAAGGTGCCTGCTTTAGTTTCTAAAACAGTGGAATAAGTGATTTAACTGAATTTGTGGGACCGTTTGTAGCGTCCCATTGGCTCATCTGTGCTATGAAATAGTAAGGTCCATGGATGAAAGTGAATTGGGACTCTCTGTATGGAGCTAATGATGTGATGGTCAACCAGTATTTTCTAATGATTAGGCAAGGCCACCATATATGGGCACTAATAACTATAGCTCCACAACCTCACCAGCAGAGCGCACAGAATTCAGGAAAAATGGAGTGTAATCTTACCAGAGTAAAATACCATCTAGAGGAGTTAAAATGAATTTCTGCAACGTGGGAGGAAGTGGAGGAAACATGTGCCAACTATAAGACCTTTGAGAGTCTGACAAAGTCATTCCCAGATCATCCTCCTAAACGGGTTAATATGTAGGCAAAGTTTGAGAACTCAGTTGGGATAGAGCTGTGTATAATAATGAAATACACCTAGTCGAAGTAGAGGCTTGTGAGAGTAACTCTTCCAGAGGGTAAACTTTTTGCATAGATCGAATTGGTTTAGGTAAGGCATGGAATAAGTGAGACAACTGCTTAAATCGCAATATTTTCATAATGGAGGGGCAAAGAGGACTCAGGGAGGTTAAAGGCTTCAGAGAACCCTGGTGAACTACATGATGCAAAAGCAGTGTGCCATCTTTAGAGCAAGTATGATAGTGGGAGTCTAAAAGGGGAGTTTAACACTATCCCTGCCAAGCCCTCGGGAACATTTTTCAATTCAGCTGGCCAAGCCATTTTTGCAATTTTCCCCATTGATTTTATTTTCAACTGCTGCGTTGCTAGTGTTTGTAAAAGACCCCCCAAACCATATATTTTCTGAAAGCGCAGGCCCAGTAGAATAAAAGGATGGTGATACTAAATTTGTAGGCCCTGCGATAATTGCGCAAATGTTTCTCAAATTAATATTAAACCGATAAAATTTACACAATTGATAGTAAAATATTTACTATCAAGCGGTTTATGAATGGGGAGAAGCCTCTATAGTGAGCACTACTCCGCATTCAAAAATTCATGAATGAACAGGAAGTGATGTAAATAACATCCTGTTCATTCATAACTTTGGACACATAGTACATAGTACACTGAGAACCAGGCGGTGCTGCCATGATATCACGGCGGCTCCGCCGGGATCTCAGCGTGTAAATGACAGTTCATCATCTCCTGGTTACCTAGTGACCAGGGGACGCTGAACTGTCATGAGAGCTTGTCGGAGCTGGCTTTGATATTACCGCTGGCTCCGACAAGCGGTCATTGTAATGACAGCTGGTCCCGTCCTGTCACTGCTAGCTCCGCCCAATAATTTTCTCCTTTTTCTATTCTGCTCGGTACCACAGAGGTTCCGAGTTATAGTATTTAGCTTCATATTTTATGGATATATTCCAGCAGGTCAAGAGCTTTCTTGAAATCATTTTCATTTGCCTTTTTGTTCTCCTCACAAATGTATAGCTGAAACATGAAAACAGAAGCATGCAGTATAAAGTTTTAGCTTTCAACTTTTGTAAATGATATGGAGAAATAGCTTGTAGTCTACATTCATTTGTGTCTTTTCTATTTGCCTAGTGTTTAGCTTAAAGAGATACTGTAAGTCTGGATTTTTTTAACAGGCTCAAGCATTGTGATGGGTGTAGGTAGTGCAGTGCAACTAGGAAAAGGAAAAAGTAGGTAATTAAGACTGCAACGTATTTCAGACAGGAAAGATCAAATGTACTAGCCTAATCATAGAAAAGCAATCTGTCTAATGTGCCTGTACATAACTATGCTTTAGGCTCAACTCACTAAGCTACAGGGCTTATGTTATGTGCCATAATATTCAATATTTTCAGCCATAAAAAAAGGGAGAATGGAGATTGAGGTGAACTAAAAAACAACAGGATTCATCTGAATGAAAAATTAAAGCCAGGAAAATGTAGGCTTTATTTGAAATTATCACGGAAGTGTACCTAGGACTAACTTTCCTCCGCCAGCACTTTATATTGCTATGACTAAAAAAAGCACCCACTCACACAATTGCAAGCTTTAGGCACTGTAAATATATGGTTAGATAACAATTAACATCAGATTACTATTTAATTCTTACCAAACATTTGTTTTTCCTTATTTTCAGATTACATGGTTTCTACAGCAAGAACTCATAGGAGCAATGTGGGCACTGACTTTGTTCAAAACTGCAATATCAGTTTTGCTACAATGCATCATGCGATCTCACATTACTCAAAAGCAACATTGCTGGTTAAGAACCTTCTTTACAAGCATGATGGTCTTCAGAGATGTCAACATTAACCAGCACTCATGATAAAAAGTCCAGATGGCGAAAGTCGTACAGCCTACGTGGCCAGTCATATAGGCACTTTGTGACGGGACGTACAGTGTATGTCTCCCGTCACGAGGGGGTTAATATCTAGGTAAAAAAGTATTTTACTGCAGCAGTAATTAACCCCTTCATGACTGAGCTTGTTTTTAGTTCAGCTGCAGATTTTCATTGTAATGGGTTAATTTTTATATTCATGATAATATAAAATGTTTTATTTAAATACAAAATGTTTAGGTGGCAAAGCAACGAAGTTGCAAGGACACCTATTGTTATTGTTCGTATTATTATTATTTTTTTAATTATTATTATTCTGCTGCTTTTTCAAATGACTGTTAGTCAAAAACTCATGAAACTTTGCACAATGGTAGAGCCCTGTGCTGCAGAGCTTATTACAACATAAAGGTCATAGGTTACATGATGTGGCAGCCATCTTGGTTTTTGCTTCCATTTTTGTGAACTATTCAGAAACCTGCTTCTCCAGAACCGCTAAAGCTACAGATGTACAACTTTCTGTGTGAGGTTATGCTTTGCTCTGTTATCTCATGTGTTCATTATAGCGCTATTGGTCACATGGTTTGGAAGCCATTTTGAATTGTGCAATATTCTGCAAACAACTTAAACTCTGAAACCATTTATCAGAATAACTCAATATGTTTAGGGCGACCTAATTTAAAATGGCCGTTGCAAGCCAATGGTATTTAGATAGTGTTATTATTATGGCCTTTTTTTCAAAAGCCTGTAATAAGTGCACTGTTACTCAAACTGATGCCAATTGGCCCAATGGCAATGCTCTATGCTGTGCATAATCTTTCGCAACATAAAAGTCATAGGTCACATTGCCTGGCAGCCATCTTGTTTTAGGTGATTATATTCAGCTCCATATTCAAACATTTGTTTCTCAGGAACTATTACAGCTAAAGATGTACAAATTGATGTGTAAGGTTATGCTGTTATCTGCACTCAGAACTGATCATTACAAGTCAATTGATCACGTTTCAGCGGCCATATTGAATTGTTCAAAATTCTACAAATATTCCTATTATTTTGATGCTCCTTTTTTCAAATGCTAATTATAACCACACTTATTTAAAAACTCATGAAATTTGGCACAATGGTAGAGAACTGTGCTGTGTTTAATCTTTGCCAACGTAAGGGTCATAGGTCGCATGCTCTGGTGGCCATGTTGGTTTTAGCAAACCTATTTCTGGCAATTTTTAAACATCTGTTTTTTCACAACCTCTAAATCTAAATATATACAAATTGCTATGTGAGGATATGCTGAGCTCTACAATCATATATGTTCATTACAAGTCATTTGATCACATGGTTGGGCAGCCATATTGGATTGTGCAATATTCTGCAAACAACTTCATCCCTGAAACCAAATATCAGAATTCAAAACTTTGCACATATGTCTAGGGCGACCTCTTCTACCACAGTTGTAAAAACAGGTCCGATCCCAAAATCAATATGGCCACCACAAGCCAATCACAAGTTTTTCCACTTACAAAGAAATTAAAGGTCTATAATTTTTATCATAGGTGTATTTTAAATGACAGAGACAGAATATAAATAAAAAACAACACATGATACAAATGTTATAAATTGAGTTGCAGTTCAGTGAGTAAAATAAGTATTTAATCGCCAAGCAAAACATGACTTTTTGGTGGAGAAAACCTTGTTGGCAAGCACAGAGGTAAGACATTTCTTGTAGTTGGTTACCAGGTTTGCACACATCTCAGGAGGGATTTTGGTCCACTCTTCTTTACACATCTTCCTTAAATCCTTAAAGTTTCTTGGCTGTTGCTTGGCAACTCGAAGTTTCAGCTCCCTCCATACATTTTCTATAGGATTAAGGTCTGGAGACTGACTAGGCCACTCCATGACCTTAGTGTGCTTCTTCTTGAGCCACTGCTTTGTTGCCTTGGCGGTATGTTTTAGGTCATTGTCATGCTGAAAAACCCATCCACGACCCATCTTCAGTGTTCTGGCTGAGGGAATGAAGTTCTCATCCAAGATTTTACAATAAATGGCCCCTCAATGCGGCAAAGTTGGCCTGTACCTTTAGCAGAGAAACAGCCCCAAAGCATAATGTTTCCACCTGCGTGCTTGCATGTAGGGATGGTGTGCTTAGGGTCATAGTCAGCATTTTTCTTCCTCCAAACATGGCGAGTCGAGTTTTTGCCAAAGAGCTCAATTTTGGTCTTATTTGACCGCAGCACTTTCTCCCAATCCTTCTCTGAATCATTTGGATGTTCATTGGCAAACTTCAGACAGGCCTTCTTGAGGAGGGGGACCTGCAGGATCTCAATCCATGGTGGTGTATTGTGTTACCAATGATTTGTTTGGCGACTGTGGTCCCAACTGCCTTGAGTATTCACAAGCTCCTCCCATGTAGTTCTGGGCTGATCCCTCACTTTTCTCATGATCCTCCTTACCCCCCATGAGGCGAAATCTTGCATGGAGCTCCAGATCGAGGACGATTGATGGTTATTTTGTATTCCGTCCATTTGCGAATAATCGCTCCAAAAGTTGTTTCCTTCTCACCAAGCTTCTTGCTGATAGTCTTGTAGCCCATTCCAGCCTTGTGCAGGTCTACAATCTTGTCCCTAACGTCCTTTGACAGCTCTTTGGTCTTGCCCATGGTGGTGAGCAGGGCTGGACTAACCATAGGGCAAACCAGGCACTTGCCCGGTGGGCCGGGCCAAACACAATCAACCTGATTGTGTTTGGGCCGGTCCGCTATGCCCGATGGCCTGCTCTGAGAGCTCCATTTATCATAGAGCACAGAGTGGCCACTCGGCCAGGCAGAACAGGAGATCTGCCCCGCCCCCATCACCAGCTGACATATGAGTCGGGAGAACTGTGCAGGACCCGCGCTGTCCTGTGAAAGATAACAGAACAGAGTCCAGGAGAAGTTGAGCTGACAAGGGGAGAAGAATCACTAGCAAAGTGAAGAGTTAGCAGAGCTCCACGACCCCATGCTGAACACACGGGGGGAATAGGCACAGGAGCCAAACTGAGGGGAGACACTGGCAGGGCCGCCGTCAGGGGGGTATGGCCGATAATCATATGAGGAGCCCGGGCCCCTTACATGCGTATCAGCTGTACAAGGGGCGTTACGGTAGAGGGAGGAGGTGGAGGCGGCTGGGCCACAGCAGAATCGGACTGGCGGCAGAGGAGGCCGGGTCCCAGGTGGGCTCTGTGGAGTCTCATGTGTGTCCTAAAACCAGTGCATTACTAATCCCCGAGTCCAGCGCGGTACTAATCCCTGAGTGTTACTAATCCCCGAGTCCAGCGCATTCCTAATTCCTGAGTCCAGCATGTTACTAATCCCCGAGTCCAGTGCGTTACTAATCCCTGAGTCCAGCGCATCACTAATCCCAGAGTCCAGTGCGTTACTAAGCCCTGAGTGTTACTAATCACTGAGCCCAGCGCATTACTAATCCGAGTCCAGTGTGATACTAAGCCCCGAGTCCGGCGCGTTACTAAGACCCGAGTCTTACCAATCCCTGAGTCCAGTGCCTTACTAATCCCTGAATCCAGTGCATTACTAATCCAGGAGTCCAGCGCATTACTAAACCCTGAGTGCGTTACTAAGCCCTGAGTCGAGTGCGTTCTTAAGCCCCGAGCCCAGTGTGTTACTAATCTCTGCGTCCAGCGCATTACTAATCCCCGAGTCCAGTGCGTTACTAAGCCCTGAGTGTTACTAATCCCTGAGTCCAGCGCATTACTAATCCGAGTCCAGTGTGATACTAAGCCCTGAGTCCAGCGCGTTACTAAGACCCGAGTCCAGCGCGTTACCAATCCCTGAGTCCAGCGCGTTACTAATCCCCGAGTCCAGTGCCTTATTAATCCCTGAATCCAGTGCGTTACTAATCCCTGAATCCAGTGCATTACTAATCCCGGAGTCCAGCGCATGACTAATTCCTGAGTGCGTTACTAAGCCCTGAGTCCAGTGCGTTACTAAGCCCCGAGCCCAGTGCGTTACTAAGCACAGAGTGTTACCAGTCCCTGAGTTTGACGTGTTACCAGTCCCAGAGTCTGCATTTGAGTGTAAGCTCCTCTGTACAGAGACTGATGTGACTGGCTCAGTCTTCTCAGTACAGCACTGTGGTATATGTCATAGCCAGGG